CCTCCTGGACTTGTGGGGTATTACCCCCCGAAGCCTCAAGCACCGGAGGGGGACGGGATATGCAGCTGGCCTCTCCGAGGCTCCCGACACTGATCAGGCAGCCTGGGAAGGTTGGGTGAACGCCCAAGGGTTCCACGGATACCATGGCACCGGCCACTGCGCTTGGGGCCATTGGACAGGTTTTGGTACCTATAATGTAGTCGGCATCGCTGGTACTGGGGCTTGTCCCGCAGTCAGGGAACCTTGCTCCGAGCTGGGGCTACCAGCGGAACGGTCAGTACTGGGCGACCAGAATTGCGCTGAGTGGTGGTTCTTGTCCAACCGGTGCTGGTTGCTGCATCCCAAAGCCGACCTGTCCGAGCGACACTGATTTGGTCGGGCTCTCAGGGACCGACGTTTTTCGGTGGATCTGCGGCGGATACCCGGTGAACCATGCTTCACACTACTTGACCAGTATTGGGATGTCGAATGGGACCGGGAGCTACTACAGGCCAGTTGCTGGGAGTATCGTCCTGAGTAGGGCGACCTCCTTCTTGGAGACAGGTGATGACAACCTGGCGATTGGCAGTCTCTGGTGTCTGATCGGTCCTGGGCCCTTGGAGATGGTCGGGGCTGGTCCCAGAGTTCTTGCCGGGTGGCGCATGCCTCAGAGGGTCTGCGCCAATCTACTGGCAAGGTACACCTCGAATCCCTCTATCGGTGCCCCCAGTGCGGGGACCAAAGAGGGCTCCGCTGAGCCTGCCTCTCCAGTCCTGAGGCGTGACGACTTCGGGCAGGCGAACACCAGTGGGATGTCCCTTTCAATGGGGAATGGTGCCGCTGAGACGAAAACTCACACATAGGTCCCAACATGGGTTTTCCCCAAGACCGGGATACTGCGGGAGCCGGTGTGGGTGGCACCGGGAGCGTCAGGATCTCTTGAGCTGCTCGAAGAGCTTTGAGCGTCGACGGCACCTGAAGCTGGCTAGGGCCTGCACCGCTATCTGGGGTCGCAGGCAAAGCATGGGACAGGCTGCTCCGCTTGACTTGAGCTGGGGCCCGAGTTCCCAATGGGGGCGTTGAGCTGCCCGGCACGGGTTGTGGCTCACCCCACCCCTCTCCTTTCCCTTACAGGAGGTAGATCTTTCCCTCCCTGTGTTTTTCAGCTTCTTCACCGGAGCCATGGAGGGAGACTGGTGCCGGCTCACGGACAGCACTAGGGGAGCACTGCACATGGAGTCGGACCGCTGCTCCAGTGCCAGAGTGAGTGACTCCATTAGGAGCGCTCTTAGACAGATATCGCGCTCCTTCTTCGTCCTAGGTTTAAAGGACTTGCAGATACGGCACCTGTCACTTATGTGCCCTTCGCCTAAGCACCTTAGGTAGCTGGTATGTGGATTGCTGACGGGCATAGGCCGTTTGCAGCGATCACAGGGCTTATAGCCTGGAGACAAGGGCATGCCCCATCCCCTGGCTGAGTCCCATTTGGGACTAACGAAAAGTTGAGAACTACTAAGGGTGACTAAAGAAACTACTAACTATATACAACTATATTACAGGTTTTCAAAGTTCACAAGAACAGAAAACGAAACAATGCTAGCCGAAGCAACAGATGTTCTAGCACCGTCACTGGTGACAAGAGGGAACTGAGGGTGGAGGGAGCCGATGGCACCCCCTATACAGCGCCATGCAGGCGTCACTTCAGGGAGCGCCAGAGCCGGTCCCCTATGGATCTTGCTGAGAGAAAAACTTCCAGCCCCGGTGCATGTCCACACCTAACATGGAATGGACATGAGCAAGCACTCGAAGAACTACTCCATTATTTCTTATATAGAAAATGCATATTTAGAAAGGATTTTTATTTCCTTCTAATGTGATAGTTTACAGATGGCAAGAAGAAAGGAGTCTTCATCTGTGGACCATCAGTGGTCATGAACTAGAGCCTCAGATCCGCTGTCCTAATGCATGCAGAGATCTAGTATATTCCAAGAAGGATTTTTTTTTGCTTAAGATTACAGCTGTGCAGCTGCATTAAAACTGCACCCTATAGCCACTACCGGTGAACACTGACCAAGTATATGGGCACAGTCCTATTGAATTAAAAGACTCCCTATATGGGCTTGCAGTGAGATTCAGCCAGAGGCAAGCTAGGTTCCTTGTTCAAAATGTGCCCATGCGAAATGGCTCAGAACATTTCACAGAGCTCTAGTAATTAGAAGAGAGATATACTTATAAACTGTACATTTCAAGAAGTGTTTATATATATATAATGCTTTTTGTGCTTCTTCCAGCTGGAATGCCCCTGGGAAGAACATACCTGGAAAATGTTCAGTTTCCAAAAGTGGGTAAGAATGAAGGAAAGGAAATTAACAGCCCAGTCAAAGAAGGGGGAAAAAAGTGCTTTATAGGAGGCAGCAAGAGTCAGATCCTAAAGGAAGAGAGGTATACTCATCAATGTTATTTGCATTTCAAACACTAGTTAATTGCAATGTTATTTGATGTTCTTTATATTACCCTGAAGTTGGAATCTCTAACACAGATCATGAATAATTCACATGGGAGGACAGAGTAGGTGACCCAACAGGTCTCTTCCATTTCCAGTTCCTTTGGTGATCTTAATTTGAAAAGTCAGCAGCGACCCCCAGGATACATGACAACAATAGGCCAGTAAATACTAATTAGGACAGATGGCAAGATACTGGTTAAAAGACACCCAACTAGATCACAGAAAACCTTGCAGAAAATTATTAACCAAATCAAATAGTTATCATCCAAGGGTGTTTCCTACCACATAATACTTGAACAATTTTGAATATTGTAGGATATGAGGAACAAAGATGAACGGTACTGTAGTTTGAGCTTTTTCCAGTGATGCAAAGAAAGCTTTAGATATGATCAAGTGGGATTAGCTACTAGCCAATCTGTAGACAATTAGGACAGGGCAGAATTTTACCCAGCAGGTAAAAGTCCTTTATGGAAATCTCACAATCATCCATCCCATCTATGCTAGAGAATTAAAAACAAAAACAAAAAAACCCAACAAAAAACAGTTTCTAACATTGTTTCAGCTTCATCAATGTTAGCAACACTGGGTACCCTCTTGTAGAGGAGCTACTGACGGCCAATCATGTGTCAGTTAGACCTCATCTCAATATGACTAGATCAGCGGTTCTCAACCAGGGTACACAGGTCTTCCAGGGGGTACATCAACTCATCTAGATATTTGCCTAGTTTTACAACAGGCTACTACTGAAGTCAGTACAAACTAAAATTTCATACACTTACTTGTGTACTGCTTTATATACTATCCACTGAAATGTGAGTACAAGATTTATATTCCAGTGGATATAAGGTAAAAATGAGAAAGTAAGCAGTTTTTCAGTAATCGTGTGCTGTGACGCTTTTGTATTTTTAGGTCTGATTTTGTAAGCAAGTAGTTGATAAGTGAGGTGAAATTTGGGGGTAGACAAATCAGACTCCTGAAAGGGATACAGTAGTCTGGAAAGGTTGAGAGCCACTGGACTAGATTACACACTTATTAAAAATGGTAGTGGCAGCTAATGGTCTGCCTATGCAAGGGCCCCCACTGTTGTCATCATTGGTGGAACTGAAATGGTGTTAGCAACATTGGGAAATGTCTCTGGTATGAACAAGGTTTCAATGGCTACAAATGACCACTCCCTTGGGATATTCCAGCTTGAGAGAAGGACAGATCTGGGTTACCTTTTTCTTTCTTAGGTTTTGGTTTGTAGTGAAATCCCATAGTTCAGCTGATACAACAAAGTAAGGATGCATTGTAGTACTGTGGAATGAGAGTGAAAAAAGTAAATCAATATATTAATTCTATTACTATGGTCTCAAAAGAGGGAATTTGAATAATAATTAGATTCTAAAATTCAGTGCAGAAAAGCAAAGGGATGTTGTCCTATCAAAGGACACACACACATGAAAAAACACCATTCAGAAGAACTAAGCACTTCTTCAAATGGTTAACATAACACCAAATATTAGGTCAGCATTTCCCAACGCCTCCTCCCTCCGCTCCTGTAACCAGGCCCTGGGGATTCCAGATAAAGGAGGCTTTGTGGTGAGCACAGAGAAAGTGGTAAATCCTGAGGTAACTGATTCTTGGGCTTTGTCAATGGTAACCACAGAAAACATACTCCTTTTTAAATGGCAGTTTCGGCTAGTGAGTGTTTCTAAACGTGCACTGATATTAGGCAATATTATAGGGCAATATCCATTTTCCTCTGTTCATGTTAATGCTGTTTTTATTTTCTCTCCTGCAAAGTTCACATAATTGGGGCCCTATCCTGTGAGGTGCTGAGCATCATTTGTGATGGATTAAGTACCCTCAGCTGCCCCTGGACTTCATAGGAGTCGAAGGCACTCACCACTTTTCAGCACTGGACCAAAAGTCATTATTTACTGTTCTTCTCTAAGGCTGACTAATGAACATTCTTAGTAGCACCATGCACATGAAGATAGGCCCTTGCTCAAGATAGAGAAATTAATTTCTCTGAGAAGCGCACACAAAGAATAAAAGTTGCTAGAATCCTAAGTATTTCTACAGAAGATAAAATTCCTTTAAGATAAGCTGGCTACCATCTGTCACACGGGTCCTGTTCAGGCACATGTCTAGGGGAGGAGGAACAGGAGTAGGACCAGAAGTATTAGAAATCAGATGGTAGCATATCACATTTTGGAGCAGGGAGGGAGACAACTGGTTGCTGGGGTGGATGGTACCATTTATTAGGAGCAGCAGGATGCAACTTTGTAATTGGGAGAAGAAAGTCAAGCTGAGATACTTTAGTTGGTGTCTGGGAGGATTGAACATTTGCTAGGAGAATGATGGATCAGATTGCTTTGGAGATACCAGAGTTCAGGGGAGGGATTGGCTGCTCCAGACAAACACACTTATACATAGCTTTTCTGCAGGTTAACAATCTGTTAAACAATGGGAAAATGGATGACACATTAGTGAAAGTCTGTAAAGTATAATGACATCACTGCCACTTAATACATTATAAAGTCACATTAGGGAGTAGGGGAAACTATTAAAATCCTTTCACTGTGGAACAATGATATAAAATAATTATAACTGTATTTATATTTTGAAGCGAATAATGATTTTTTGTTCATTTGCAGAAAAGTACTAACATCATGGGAAAAAGCCCAGTATTGTGGAAACAGACACTATAGATGGAAGAGACCAATTAGATTATGCAGTCTCTTTCCCTGCAAATATAATATGTAGTACAGTACTCTGCAGATTACATAAATTCTATTTCAGGAAGTAGAGAAAATTTCATTAGCGATATTACAGCCAAACTGAATTAAAGTTACATTAAAAACATTCAGATGACTGTACAGTTCCTTACTACTCTTTAAGATACAATATACATCAGGCTAATTTCTTAGTAAGACACATTAAGAATTTGCAAAGGCATTGGACATGACGGTGTCTTTCCCCAGAAAATAGGATTACTTTTTGGTTTGGTGATTCCAGAACCCAAAGAAAAGAAACTAGTGAAAACCTTTGAACAAGAACACAAACCACCTAAAACAGTGACCATTAGGGACAGCAATAAGTGATGATTTTTGCCACTGACCTGCTATGTGGCTTTGAGCAAGTTTCCCTATCTGTAAAACAGGAATAATGAAACTTACCTCCTTTGTAAAAGACTGTCTATTGATGAAAAAAGTCTTAAAAGCATAACTATTGCATGCTAGTGTTGATAAATACTATTTCCTTGCATTCACCTGTCATCCAAGCATTTTTCTGTATTATCATTCATTTTAGCGATTGAAATGGCTTATTAAGAATTCCTTTGATTCTTCTCCCAGATTTTGTGACAGAGAAGAGGATTTTCGTTTTGAACGTACATGTCAAACTCAGAGAAATACACAGATTTAAGATGTATTTGTGTTGGGGGGAGGGAAGGTTATATTGTGATATATACTTGAGTAGGTCCATTGTATTCTTGACTGTGACAGTTAGGGGGCAACAGATGAGCTGTCTTAAACTTACCTGACAGGGTGTCCCCAGCTACTGTCTCTGGAACTTGGGTTATATATACCTGGTACTTCTTTTATGAGGACTCTCTCTACTGTGACTTGAGGTATCATATAGAATGACAGGCAGACTGTAATAAAATAATGAATCCTTCTTAAAAGTACCATCAGCCTTGTATTACTCCAAGCCTCAACGCACAATACATTTTAAATATAAAAAGACATTAAAGATAATAAATTATTATAAATGAGTAACAAACATCTTCAATATCCATATAAAAACATCCCAATGGGAAAACTTATAAATGCATTTTAACTATTCTAAAACAACAAAAACCAAAACTGACAGCTACTGTTAAAAAGCCATGGAAAAAGCTCTTAAAATGCATCCAACCTGAAATTACAATTATAGAAGGAAACGTTTCTATAAAATGATTTTAAAAGGGTATATGACTGTGACAGTCAAGTACAGAACAAAAGAAACAAAGTCACACAGAGAGTCAAAGCACAAGATGGGGATAAAAAGCTTGGGGGACAATTTCAAAGGCACCAAGCACCGAACTCCCATTGACTTTCAAATGCAGTCAGGCACTTGTGCCTTTGAAAATCTTCCCCTAGATCTTCCACACGTGAATCTTTTCTGCAATCACACACCAATTTGCATGGTCAAAGTATGAATGAATAACATGTAGCTCAGGAACATGATGTTCTATCAGTTCAACCAACTCCCCTTCTTTAAAAACATGGTAGTACCTAAGACAAGCCCCATTAGGACTCCTTTGCGGCTGTTTGTTCCATGTGGCCATGGAACAATAATTATTGGTATCCTGTAGAGAGCTGTCTGTTTTCCTTCTGTTTTGGAGTTGGTGGAAAGCTGATTGTTTTGGGTGATAATCTATTTTAAGTTGCTGTTTGACATCTTTTTGATGGGAAACCAGGTCAGGTAAACACACTCTGCTGCAGTCATGAATTATAGCTGGAGACACTGGGGGCTGCTTAGTGTCCTGGCCTAATTCTGAATAACAACTTTTGAAAGGCACTGGGTGACATATCATAGGTGACCCTGGTTCTACAGCTACTTCAGAAGCATTATCTTCAGAATTCTGCCTGCAACGCAAAGACAAGTTGGAAATATGCTTCATGAAGCCACCTTGCCTGATTTTTTCAAAAAGCTTTCCCCTGTTTAATTCATCCAGCTGAATATTGCCATTGGAAAATGTGCTAAGCTCTCTTTGGTGCCACTGATTACTCAAGTCCAATATTGAATCAAGTGATCTTGAAAAGAGAGACCATCTCAGGGATTTTTCAAATAAGTTGTGTGTGGTTTCCTTCTCCCCCACAAAGGATGAACTTCTTGCTTGCCTGTGTACTTTTAAAGTGCCAGCTAACTTAGGGGAGTGTTGGTCCAAAGCCAGCCTTTTGTCCTTTTGATTAATTGATTTCTGTATTCCACGCGAACAAGTGTTACTCAAGGTCCAGGAAGGTGGTGAAGGATTCCAAGGAACAAAGACATCCTGCTTTTCAAATTTTCGCCGTTTTTGCTCCATTGCCCACACGTATATCATCATCTGGCCACCTACTCTCAAGGTGCGAGCCATCTCCTTTATCGCTCGCACGCGCCGCTCCTTTGTTGAAAAATGGTGGATCACTGGAACAGAACATATAAAGTGAATAAATATCCCTCAAATCACTAATGAATAGTACACAGAAAAATATTGGTTCGGACACACTGGCTTGAACCCCAGGAAAGAATCATCTGTCTTCTACTGTACTACACTATGCTACAGCCTTTCCATATGTGAAAGGAACTCAGAGCAGATTTATTTTATAAATACAATAAAATTAAAACGCATGTATTGGTGCTAGTGACAAGTTCCAGACTGACAGCAACTGCAGCTCCACTTACTCACGAAATAAGTACAAGACGGGTAGTTCCCTATTTTTTACCCTGTTAGCATGGCCCAACTGTGGTCTGAAGACAGCGCTTCTAAGGGAATAGGGGTCTACCCAGTCCATATAAATTTACTCCAATAAGAGTGACACAAGGATGCCAATTATTGTGATGTGGACACCTGTTAAATAAAAACTGGACTGAAATCACCTACTCATTTTGCTTAAGTAATTGAACAGCCACCGAACAACTAATACAATAAAGATAATCTGTCACTACTAGTTCTGGGTGAATTTAAACCATTGACATAGCAGTGAAAGGGTCCATAACCACTTACCAGTCATCTAGTCTTGCTAGTTCACAGTGTTAAAGATAACTTGTTGAATAATTAGTCCTATTTTTATTTAGTAAAATATGTATGCTATTACCAATAGTTAAAGTATAGTGAGAACTTGGTAGTTACAGTAGCATAAAGATTTTTGTTACCTCATTCGTAAAAGTGTTTTGAGAGCTACTGATAAGAAGTTCTATATTATTATTATTTTACTATGATATGGTCTTGTTTTTATGTTCATAACTTTCTGAACCATTCACCTTTGCAGCTGAAATTCTCCATGCTTGATCCAAAATCCTTTAAGCCACATTTAAGTTATGAGAAAATGAAAAATAAATACATTTTCCCATCACAAAAAATTATCATCTCACTCTTTTAGACAGCACTACTGAAAAAAATGGCTGAAGTTTGAAACTTAACATGGCCTCACTGAGGCCAAGTGTGAAAACAAATTAGTTTTGATTAAACAAAGATGTGACCATTTGAAGATTGGATACTGAGCATGCACAGTAGAAATGTTCCCATGTCTACAAGGCTCCCCTTTATGCTGTGTCTTGGTGGATAGTTATTTACAGAATGTTGCAATAAATAGTTGTCACTGGATGGGCCGAATTCTGAAGTCAAACTCAAGCAAATCTCCCAAAGACTTTACTCACAAAACCTTTGCTTGAGTCAGAACTGAGTTCAGGATTTGACTGACATCAATAAAAAAATTGCCCAAATACCACCTGCGTAGGCTCAGGATTTGGCACAGCATTTTGCCTGAATGAACACTGATCTTAATTATATTGGAGAAATTCCATGGTAGACAATGACAGATATCAGATTCTGGTATACAGTAGGGACTTCAGGATTTGGTTGATTGGTAATAGGGGTATGAATTCCATAGTTACATTGAAGGCAAGGTATAACTAAGGAGCAGTCAAGGATTTTAGCAGTAGTGGTAGAGTGAAAAGGACTAATAGTAAAGATGTACAAGATAGAGCAACCAAATTTGATGCAAGTCTGGATATGGGAAGATGAGAGAGAGAGAGAGAGAGAGAGAGAAAAAAGTCAAACAGAACACTGAGGTTGTGAACATTTGTGATGGGGAAGATGCTGAACACAAGCTATGACTACACATCTTCACGAGATCTGGGGATGGAAAAAGTTTTGCTCAATTTTTTATCCAACCTTTTCCCTAAATTTTCTTTAGTGAAAATGTCCACACAAATTACTGCCTGTGTTTCTATGCACTATCACCTCAAGCGTTGGTGATAAAGTAACTTTGCGTTACAGTGCTGAAGTGCCTGCCCCCATATGCAAATTATACATCTCACTGGGAAAAACTGTCACCCCCTTACAGAAATGTATGTGCACAAAATGCTGGCAGCATAGCTAGATGTTCAGCACATCTTTATCTGTCAGGGTGAGCAACGTTCAACCAGATCTGCTTTCCCTCAGAGGAAAGAGATACTTCTAGAATTAAAAGAATAACAGCATGGAATCAAGCTAAAATAGGGAAACACTGCCAGAAATGAATGATGAATTCACCTTCTCTGCAGCAATGAGAAGATCAAAAGCTAATCTTTAAAGAAATAGGCTCTTTCAACATCTAGTTATTCAGCTACTCTGCCTGTATGTTTCACTGGTTCTAGAAGAACAGAAATCAATTCCAAAAATGCTCAAATTCTACAGCAATAGCTGAGAGTCTGACATTGAAACATTATGGTCATTTTAATTAAAAAGGCTTCCAGTAGCATTTAAAGGGTTACAGTTTATTAATAAAACCTTCAGATGCTTAGAAAAAGTTTAGTGTTCGTACAATGAATTTGTGTGGAATGAGGAGTAAGTTTGAAATTCCCTGAGGCCTGGTCCACACTACCCCCCCACTTCGGACTAAGGTACGCAAATTCAGCTACGTTAATAACGTAGCTGAATTCGAAGTACCTTAGTCCGAACTTACCACGGTCCAGACGCGGCAGGAAGGCTCCCCCGTCGATGCCGCGTACTCCTGTCGGCGAGCTGGAGTAGCGGCGTCGACGGCGAGCACTTCCGGGATCGATCCCAGAACATCGATTGCCTGCCGCCGGACCCTCCGGTAAGTGTAGACGTACCCTGAGTGATGCATTACATTAAAAAAGGCATAACCTGAGGAAGCAAAGAGAAAGTGTTCTCCTATGATAACATCAAGTTGCACTTAAATTTCAGATCCTCATGAGTCTTATCATGCATTTTTCTTTTTAACCAAAGGTACGCTTGTCAGGGACCACAATTAGAACACACTCCCAGTCACCTAAAGCAGGCTGCTTATGGGAAAAATCATTTAGCTCTCTCTTTATACATTCAAATCTTTATAACTAAATATTAGTTAATTTACAATTAGGTCTTGTTTCAAAGACAGAGCTACTTGCTTTCTTAACTTTGTTGGGAAGGATATATAAATATTCATTTTGAACCTGGGATTTCACTCTCCACTAGCACCAAATTAAACAGCATTGAGCCTGATTCTCCATTCTTTTAAAGTCTCAGGACTGCTTAAATTACACTAGCAGCACCAGCCCCCAAAGGGCCAGTTGGACAATCATGGATCAGCGGAGTACAGCAGTGGTCCAATCACCCTCCCCCACTTTCTCCAGCAGCACTCCCTACACAAGAGCCAGGAAACTCCCAAGTTAGCTGGTCAAGCTACCTTTAAGGTTGTTTTAAGGCACCAGAACACCACAAAAGAGCCTTAACAAAGGCCAGAATCTGGACCGGTTGCCATGACCTTGAAATATATTTATGTCTTAATGTGACAGTGACCAATACTTTAAATGAAAAGTGGTGTTTGTTTTGTCTTAAATAATAAAAAAAAAAAAACCCATTGGCTGAAATTACCTAGCATCAGTTTTGTCCTCAACCATAAGAATAATGAAGGCTGGGGGGAAGTGAAAGAGACAGAATGAGTGTTGCCATATACAAAATAAAAGTTCTGTCCTGCGCATTCTGTCACAGAACCACTGACTTCAACACGGGTAAGGGTTTGCAGATCAAACCCCATTTCCTTCTTGGCGCAGCTACCACCCACAATACAGGGGGAAAAATGGTTACTCACCTTCTCGTCACCGTTGTTCATCGAGGTGTGTTGTTCACGTCCATTCCAATCAGGTGTGTGCGTGTGCACATGCACGGTAGCCAGAAAACTTTTCCCATAGCAGCCTCCATTGGGTTGGCCTGGGCACCCCTGGAGTCGTGCCTCCATGGTGCTCAATATAGAGCTCTCTTGACCCTCCACCCCCTCAGTTCCTTCTTACCAGCCCTGAGCCCTGGTGGAGTGCGCAGTGATTGGGAGTGTGGGAACCCCCATCAGCTTGTAGCACTCACGGATACAGGACGTGATCCAGGACAAAATCTGTTGAGAAGAGACAGGAAGACCTTTCATTCTGTCCGCCACTGCCACAAATAACTGGATGGACTTCTGGAACGGCTTCGTTCTCTCGATGTAGAAGGCTAGCGCTCTGTGGACATCTAAAGAGTGAAGCCTTTGCTCCCTGCCAGTCGAGTGTGGCTTAGGATAGAACACTGGGAGGAAGATGTCTTGGTTGATGTGAAACTGTGACACAACCTTCGGTAGGAAAGCAGGGTGAGGCCTGAGCTGAACTTTGTCCTTACGGTGTAAGGGGGCTCTGATGTCAGGGCCTTGAGCTCAGACACCCTCCTGGCTGAGGTTATTGCTACCAGGAATGCCACATTGAAAGAGAGACAGAGCAGGGAGCATGTCGCCAAAGGTTCAAAGGGTGGTCCCATGAGTCTGGAAATGACCAGATTGAGGTCCCAAGCCAGGACAGGCTGTCGGACATGTCGGTATAGCCTGTCGAGACCTTTAAGGAAACAGCTGACCATAGGGTTAGCAAAGACCAAGCGGCCCTCTGCGCCTGGGTGGAAGGCAGAGATGGCAGCCAAGTGAACCCTTATTGACGACATGGACAGCCTCTGCTGCTTGAGATGGAGAAAATAGTCCAGTATAAGTGGCATGGAGGCGAGAGTCGGGGATGAACGGTGCTGTGCCGACCAGATTGAAAATCTCTTCCACCTGGCAAGGTAGGTAGCCCTCATGGAGGGTTTCCTGCTGCCAAGGAGGACTTGTCTAACCTGATCCAAGCAAGAACGCTCCATCGGATTCAGCCACGGAGCTTCCATGCCGCGAAGTGCAGCGACTCGAGGTTCTGGTGTTGGAGACGGCCGTGATCCTGAGTTAATAAGTCTGGGAAGAGTGGCAGGGTGACTGGAGCTTCCATGGATATTTCCAGGAATGATGTGTACCAGTGCTGGTGGGACCAGGCTGGAGCTATCAATATCACCAAAGCTTGCTCCCTCCGTACCTTGAGGAGCACCTAGTGAACGAGTGGTATGGGCGGAAACGTGTATAGGAGATGACCTCCACATGGGAGGAGAACGCATC